TTTAACTTGTAGCTATTTATGACGGATATATGATGCGACTTATTTCAGGTCAGATTCAGTTCTGAACTCAACTAAAAGTGCTAAAAGTGGTAAATTATCACGAAGTAAGATAAAAGACAAGATACTAAATAAGTTCAGGTCACCAAGGTCGACTCCTGTACCAAAGCCACCTGGGAGTGCTTTCTCCTCACAACAGAAGAGTGGAAAAAAGCTAACAATAAAGTTAGATTCTAATCCCAATAAATTCCTTCCAATTGTTTGTAGTAAAAATGTAAAATAACTTTTGTTGATATGCAGGAATCAGCAGTTGCATTGGCCGGTTTTTGAGGAAGGAGGTTTACCTGATGGAACTGAACTAACTTATGTTTCTCATGGAAAGGTGATAGTTTTCTTTTTTTATATTTGTTAAACATCATATCATTTTCTTGAAAAAAAAATCTGACATTCTTTTATTAACAGAAACTTCTAGATGGTTATAAGTTAGGCCATGGAATATTCTGTTCATGCTGCAAGACTGAGGTATATGTATTTCCCATTTTGACCCTGTGTTTTTTTTTTCAAAAACAATTCATTAACATTTTTACATCCATGAACAGATCAGCGCCTCACAGTTTGAAGCGCATGCTGGTTGGCCTACACGCAAAAAACCGTGAGTTTAAATCTTATATATGTTTCCTTGTATTTTGTTGTTAAGAGAGTAAATTACCTATTTGGATCCATGAATGAGTTTTTTTATATAAATGTTGACAGATATGAAAACATTTACATCTCAAATGGAGTATCTCTCCATGAATATGCGGTTTCTTTAAAGAGAGCCGAAAACAAAAGATGTCCTGTGAAGTTTAATGATGACTTGTGTAGAATTTGTTGGGATGGTGGAAATCTGTTGCTTTGTGATGGATGCCCTAGGTCCTTCCATAAAGGTCAGTTTTTAATTTTTATAGAAAAACAAGGTCAAATATTTACAATGAATTAATCAAATATGTTTTTTTTTTTTTTTTTTTTTTGGTTGATACATACAGAATGTATTGATGAAAAGGAGATCCCACAAGGAAAATGGTATTGCAGATTCTGTACACAGGCAATGAAAGTTGGTGAGGATAGTGAAAATGCTACAGTAGCTGGAAGAGTTGAAGGGGTTGATCTTATTGAACAGATAACAAAACGTTGCATTCGAATAGTCAAAACCCCAGAAAACATTGATCTTGTTGCATGTGTTTTATGCAGGTAACATTAACATTTAACAAACACTCTTTGCAAAATAGAAAAAAAATGATAATTCATTTCAGGGACTGTTTTTGTAATTTACTCTTCTCTTTATAATGTTATGATGTTATTGTTTGCAGAGGACATGATTTCAGCAAAAACGTATTCAATGAACGAACTGTTATAGTTTGTGATCAGGTAACTAAATTTGAATTTATATGTGCAAATTAGGGTAGGTTTAGGTTTATGATCCACTAATCATTAAACATTGTTTTAATGACATTGTCAGTGCGAAAGAGAATACCATATCGGGTGTCTAAGGGAACAAAAAATGGCTGATTTGGAGGTGTGTATATTAATTTTATATATACTTATTTCATTGTAAAAGAAATGGGTTGATATATATTTTTTATTATTTTGCATTTTTTTATAGGCATTGCCAAAAGGGAAGTGGTTTTGCAGGACAGATTGTGAGAGAATTCATTCTGTTTTGCAAAATTTGTTGACTAAAGAAGCAGAGATTGTTGATGATGACCTGTTGACTTTTGTGAGGGAGAAGCAAAAGGAGAAGGAGGAGAAGGAGAAAGCGGAGAAGGAGAAGGAGAAGGAGGAGGGGGACAAGGACAATAATGTAATTTCTGATGAGGACAAGGAGAAGGACAAGAATGTAATTTCTGACAAGGACAAGGAGAAGGAGAAGAATGTAATTTCTGATGAGGACAAGGAGAAGGAGAAGGAGAAGGAGAAGGATGTAATTTCTGAAATGAAATTTGTGCTTTTAAGTGGGAAGAATGCGACCCGTGAAAACAGACTGATGCTTACACAAACAATAAATATTTTTCATGTGAGTTTGTTACTATTTTGCTATAATTATAACTGCTTACATCTTTTCTTTTTCTGATTTACCATTTTATTAATATAATAGGAAGGGTTTGACCCTATTATTGATGCAACAAGTGGGCGTGATTTTATTCCATCGATGGTGTATGGGTAAGCATTAGTTAATGGAACATATATTAATAAATTTCTCCCTTTTTTATTTAATAATCTAATACACACTCTCTCTCATCTTAACAGAAGGAAAATTTGGAGTCAAGATTTTGCAGGGATGCTTTGTGCCATATTGACTATAGAGTAAGGCCATTCTTTCTTTTTGTGCTTTTGAATCATTAAAAACGTAGTATATTACAACAAGTGTCCCAAATTTTCATAAATTTTTGAATTTTTGGGATCTAAACTTTCAGTTTTGTAATTTAGTCCTGTTTGTATAGTTTCATTTCGATTTTGGAACTTTTCTCAGACACTGTTCAAGTTCCACCCGTTAAGCTATTCTATGCATGGATGTGTTGCACACGAGGGTAGTTTGGTCATTTGTCTTTTATGTTTTTATTGAATAAAGAGGTGTTCCCACCACCTCCACCTCCACCTCCACCTCCACCTCAATTTAATAATAATATAAAGACAAATGACGAAGCTACCCTCATGTGAAGTTGAACACGTTCCAAAAAGAAAGTCTCAAAATTGAAAGGAAACCATCGAATTGGGACCCAAATTGCAAAATTACAAGTTGATTTGAAACTCAGGGACCAATCTTGCAACTTAGTGAAAGCATAATGGTATGTATATAAATATAATTTGATGTTTTGAATTCAATAAAATGTGCAACAGCTCAAATGTAGTAAGTGCGGGGACTCTTCGAGTTTTTGGACAAGACATTGCTGAACTTCCAATAGTTGCTACAAGTAAATGCAACCAGGGGAAGGTACCCACCCCACCCTATATAAATTTAAATATAATTTGATGTCACTTGTTACTTACTGATGACGTGGCATTTGATTTTTGTGTTTTTTGATTGGCAAAAGGGATACTTCCATGTATTGTTTAGCTGCATTGAGAGATTACTTTCGTCTTTAAATATAAAGAAGCTTGTGCTTCCAGCTGCAGACGAAGCTAAATCCATATGGACCAAATTAGGGTTCCAAACAATAGAACCAGAAGAGGTAGATTTTATCATGCATCTTATATATATATATATATATATATATATATATATATATATATATATATATATATATATATAAGCCTATTATTTTATTTGGATCAATTTTAAAATATAAATACTTATTTTTTGGGGGCGGGGGGTCAACAGCTTGGTGACTTGAGGAGAAGATGCTCGGCTATGATGACATTCAAAGGCACATCCATGCTACAAAAGGATCTTATTGCCAAACCTCAAAATGATGGCCAGGATAATAAGGTTGAGGGTGATGGTGATGTTCAAAATGTGGATAATATAGGTGATGGTGATGTTGATATTCAAAAAGTCGGTGGGGAATAGTGGGGAGATGAAGGAAACTTTTTTTTTTTTTTTGGTGGAGAAGGAAGGTTGTTGTTGATGATTATAGTTGGTTTTAGACAGACTACATATAGAGTAATCTATGGAAGAAGTTATGTGTTTTTTTTTGTGTGGGCAAATTGTTCAAAATGATAAATATTTTGCCTCATTGTTTATGATGGTTTTAGTGGTTGGTCTTTGTACATTTCCCGTATGTGTGTGTTGTGTTCTTTTGGTACATATGTATTATTTGTTTTGCTTTATTGTCTATTAGTTTGCTGTGTGTAATCTTTACTTTAATGAAAGTTTAAAGGAGGCGAGAGGGGGTTGAATGTATCACATTAATATCAGGGTAATTGCCATCACCGTTTCAAAAGATAGCTTCATTTTTATACTGACAAATCTCAAATATAGACTATATCTAGAATAAACTATGGAAATGGTCCTTAAGTTAGATAGCCATAAAAAAACAAACCCTTTTAAGGACCATCTATGCAACAAATGAAACATTCAGACTACATCCATAACTTTTGAGGAACATTAATGCAACAAATGAAACATTTAGACGAAATCCATAACTTTTGAGGACCATCTATGCAACAAATGAAACATAGGGTTAATTTAATAAAGAATCAAATTATACGATCTAAGCATATAACCATACATGTTCATGTACGTTCAGTTATAAACATACCCATATTTAGACATAAACAAGTGTGATTAGGTCGTATAATTTAGTATATATGTGCTGACCGAACTCTATTACATAAACCATTTCAATAATTTGCTCTTAAATCTATAATAAACAAAGCTTTTTGCTATATTTTTTGTAATTTGCCAAATAGACAAAACTTTCACCCACTCACTCACCTTTCATCATGGTCTTATAAAACCTCTGGTCTCTTATCTTGGCGTGTGGACCATTCTTCCTCCATTCGCCGCCCTTGTTCCAATTCTTTTTCCATCCCTTAACTCCCAAGCGAATCCTCACTCTTCAAATTAACAAATCATTAATTTAATTAAGACCACTTTTCTATTTTGGGCAAAAACATATCCCAATCGAAAATAGTGTTAAAAAGTAACATGTAAATACAATAAACAGTGCATAAAAGATAACACGTAAAATCTTTCACATGATAAGTGGCTAATAATTGGCCGATATATATATCTTTTCTTAAACACTATTCACAACATATATCTACCTCTAAACGCTTTCACTTCAATCACATCCATGGTAGATCTTATCTGTCTTGTAATAATTTGAAGGTCATAAGTTCATTTCTTCTAAGGTAATCATATGCTGAATAATGTTTAAGTAACATGCTTTAAACGAGACATAAGTGCTTGAGTGCTGGAAAAAATAAGTCCTCATTAAGCACAACACATTGTAAAGGCATATATATAATATCTTAAACAATGCTTTTTCCTCTATGTATATATAACAATACCTTGTATATACCCCCACAACAATTCTTAATCTCACAATCCTTTAATCCAAAAAAATGAACACCAATTCAAGAACCATATTCTTTTGGATATCTGTCACTACCATTGCTCTTCTTTCCATCATACTTTCTTTCTACAACACTAACTCAACCATAACTACTACCATCTCTTTACCTGGCTTTCAAGTCACTTTTATCAAAAGGGTCGTTGAGAAAAGTGGAATTTATGAGTTATTCTCTTTCATAACCCAAATCTCCGGTCATCATCATCACCACCACCACCATCATCACCACCATCATCAACAGAAGGTCACCTGTGTCAACAAGTGGAACTCTAGTCTTGTAGCAGAATACAGGGTGTCACTTGTTTTGACCGTTGACCAAGAGGGTTGTGGGAACTTCAGCAGTTTACAGCAGGCAGTTGATGCTGTTCCTGATTCTAGCGTTGGTGCAACTCTTATCATTCTTGATTCAGGAACATACAGGTAATGTTTATGTTTTCATGATCATGAGATCTTTAATTTTGTGAAGTTGTGTACAATCTAAAAAGAAAGAAAATGTTATTGTTATCGAAGGGAGAAAGTGACAGTGAACCAGAGTAAAAGCAATTTGATAATTCAAGGCCAGGGTTATCTCAACACAGAGATCACATGGAACGACACAGCAAATTCAACCGGAGGCACTGTTTACAGCTCGACAGTTTCCATTTTTGCTCAAAAGTTCACTGCTTACAACATCAGCTTCAAGGTAATGCATGCAAATGCAAGTAATCATTTTCTTTTTTCTTTTGGAAATCGATCACATGGTTGATTAATTTGTTATTCAATGGAAAAGAACACAGCTCCTCCCCCAAACCAAGGCGCAGTTGGAGCTCAAGCACTGGCACTAAGAATTGCAGGTGATCAAGCAGCTTTTTATGGGTGTGGGTTTTATGGAGCTCAAGATACTCTTCATGATGATAGAGGAAGACATTACTTCAAAGAATGTTTCATCGAAGGATCGATAGATTTTATATTCGGAAATGGTAGATCACTTTATGAGGTAATTAAGTAATCGTTTCTTCAAAAAAACATAATGAACTTAAATAATGGGTTTTGACTTTTAATAATCGATCGATACCTTTTTCTTTCAGGATTCTACACTGAACTCCATAGCCAGTGATGCCACGAATGATGGTGGGATTACCGGAGCAATAACAGCACAAGGGAGGAGCTCCGAGAATGAAAAAACCGGGTTTTCGTTTGTGTCTTGTAGAATAGGAGGAAGTGGTAGCGTGTGGCTTGGAAGGGCGTGGGGTCCTTATGCAACTGTGGTGTTCTTGAAAACCTACATGTCTCAAGTTGTTTCATCTGATGGATGGAATGACTGGAGAGATTCCTCTAGAGATCAGTTATGTCTAATTTAGTCTTTTCACCCATATACTAAAATGATATGAACTATATATATAGTTAGTCAACATTATTAACGTTTAAATCATTAAATGCATTTTCAGGACTGTTTTTTATGGAGAATATGGGTGCTCGGGTCCTGGAGCAAATAGCACATCTAGGGTCTCATATGCAAAACAACTAAGTGCAGAAGAAGCGAATCCATTCATGGATATCTCCTTCATTGATGGAAAGGAATGGTTATCAGAGTCAAAGTTGGTCAACACGATTTAAGAGAAGTCGTAAACGTTATTAATATAGTGGTGTTGGTGTTATACGACATGCAGTAATAAGCGATCGAGGATTATAGAACAAGTGAGAGACATCCATCAATTCATTAATAAAGTAGTTTCATATCATATTGTTCATATCACGTCAGCGTTTTTTTTTGTTGGGTGAAACAAAATCATTTCTGCTACTCTCCCTTTATTCTCCCTTTTGTCATGGTTGCATGCTTTCACTTAAATTGCATCTGTCAATCTTCCTCGTAACAAAAGTAAAACATTAGTCATCCATAATATATTAAATTTATTTTTTTATAGAGTTTAATGGATTTCTACATTATTATTTTATCTTTTATACAACTATACTATTTTTTTCCTCTACAATGCATTGAATTCATAAAAATTCAATGGAACATATTTTAAACATAAAAAAGTAAGATTTTCTCATTCAAGTGTTCAATAACCATTAAACTTCTTATATATTGAATGCCAACATAACATCAAATTATAATTAAGTTTAATCCATTTAATTAAATAACAACTCTTCAATTTGTGCATTGTGGATGCCCTTATAATAAAGAGCAAAAATAACCAAGTTATGTAAAAGTTCATAACATGTATGATATATAGACCAAGATTGTATTCAAAAGTATAGACGGAGTATCTTGGACCGGGCTTGATGAACCATATTAAATTTGGAAGTGAGTCCTACACAACAGTTTTTCTCCATACATAACAATTTATGTTTTATAGAGTTGTACAATACAACATTTTAAAACATAAATTGTTATGTATGGAGAAAAATTGTTATGTACGGATCAATTCTCAAATTAAATTGGATAGAGACTAATTAATCACATAAAAAAGTAGAGGTGAATTTGGTATCGGAACCAGACCGAACCGGTTGGTAGCGAAACCGATTGGGGTCAAATGTAAGAACCAAATAAACCGATTAAGGGTATACAATACCGATATTGGGTTCTGGTTTTCGTTACCAATCCCATGTTAGTCTCAAACATGCATGATACAACTTTCAAAGCAACGAGTACACACGGACCAAGTTTTCTGAACCGAATCAATACTACTGGTGCCAAAATATGAAACAATAAAGTTACTTTAATATGCAGTGCCAACACTTTCAGTATTGTTGCAAATACTAAAAATACTGAAAACAAAAATCTAAAACGTTAGAGACAATTTAATAATTTAATATGCAATTGCAACAATTTCCAAGATTTACAAAAAGTTGGGAAACAAAGTTAATTACCAACAAGAAAACATAAAAAACATTTGTAAACACAAGGTACTTCCATCCAAAACAACATATCAACTCTTAAACGACCTATGTATCGTCCATTTTCCTTTTCCGTTTTGATCGCATATCCCCTTTTCAATCTAAAAACCAAAACAAACAAACAAACAAAGTTAGTATCTAATTTATAATTTGTTAAAATAAAAGGAGAAATATGTTGAAAGTTATCGTTATGTCATCACCATTAAAACTATCATCAATATCGTCTACAATGAGTTTCCTCGATTTCCTTGTTCAATCTTGGGTAATGTAAACCAAAGCGTGACTATCGATGTTGACAAGCTTGTTTGACATGACTCTAATACATATTTGCTAGTGCTAATCGTCGATTTGGATGCCACTTTCAAAATTTTTATAGCCAAAATATCTAACAACAAAAATATATAAATTTATAACTCTAAAATTTAATAATTAAATAAACTCTAAAAAAACTAGAAATAATATATGTTTACCTTTAATCGTCCGATAAATGATTGAGGTACGCAAAATATTTTGTTTCCACCACTTAAGCATCCACGGAGGAATGTTTCCTTTAGTTATAAATATGGCTCTCCCATTTCATTTATACTCACTGTTAAATGCCAATTGAGTAATGAAGATTCGAAAAACGCGTCTGAGCATTTGGAAATGCAATGGAGCTTTTGGATTAAGGTTGGAACATTTGGCTAATGCGCTCCACACGATGGAGAATTTGGGTAATGCACTCTTACGGTGCGAAATGCGCTACAACATGTGATGCTTCACCAAATGCACTGCATGCATGGCTAATGCACTCCAACATTGCTTAATATGCTATTGATGCCTTGGAACTCCAAGAATTCATCAGCTTTGGTGCAAAGGTGCTCATTTAGGTCAAATGTGATGTCAGTTGCATGACATTTTGTGATTGGTTGACACCTATTTGAGCTTAAGAACGGATGAGCGTAGTCCATTAAAGATTTATGTCGGATCCTTAGTCTTTAAATATGGGCTGACATATAGGATTTATAAGAGGTCATTTTAGAGTTTTTTAGTATGTTTCGATTATACTTGTATTGTTTACCTCTGTTTGAACTTGTAAATAAGAATACCCCCTCATGCTATGTAGACCTCATGATGTATGAACGTATGTCATATTGACCCAACCACGTTAAATATTGTCTGTGTGTGTTTGATCTTTCTCGTTTACTCTTGACATTCACCTTAGTTATATTGAGTTTGAGTTCTCAAAGAGCAATAGAAGGTTTCAAGAATTTCACTACTTTCTTCAATTTAGCATGGGTGATTCGAGTTAGTAATTTAGTCTAGGCTAAGTATCACATGCTGAGCTTGAAAATTAATCGTATGACATTATTCACCCGTCAGATTATTTCAATTTCATTGTCAAATTTAAAAATTGAAATTTATCACTTCAAGTGAACCATACGTCTTTAGCGCATGCAAAATTTTAATTTTTAAATTTGACAACGAAATTGAAATAATTCGACGGGTGAACGATACGTCTTTTGCATGTTTGAGTTCTCAAAGAGCATAGTTAGAAGTGAGCCACTCTTTATATGTGTGAGGTTTTGTATATCTAGAATTATATTTTCTCACATTTACATTTCTACCAAATAGTTTGGAATACCTTGAAAACCTCCATTCGTCCTCTTTCATCTTCACTAAATCCCTCTACACCAAAGGTAATTTTTGTTATGAGTAAATTATTGAAATTGTCCCTACGGTTTGGTTAAAATTGCAGGTTTGGTCCCTAACATTTTTTTGCAATTGGATCGTCCCTATGGTTTGATCAAAATTACACGTTTGGTCCCTAACTTTATGTATGTAAGGGATGAAAAATACAACAAAATCAAACCACAGAGACGATCCGAATGCAAAAAAAAAAAGTTAGGGACCAAACGTGTAATTTTGACCAAACCATAAGGACGGTTTCAGTAATTTACTTTTTTGTTATATATTTAAGTATGGGAAAATGACACAAACGCCCTACGAACTTTCTAGGATTTACTCGTTGAGTCCCTAAAGTTTTTGTCGGGCTTTATGGGTCCCTAAACTAGGATACAATCTTCTTTTTTAGTCCTTGTCAACCTGTAATAGTCGGTTAGGGACCATTTAGACCAAAAAACCAAAAAAAACTCACATTGTGCCCCTATAAAACCAAAAAAATAAGTTCGAGGATCAAGATATCAGAATCGTCTGGTTTTCAATACTATTTCAATTGAAACATACAGAGAGATGAGAATTAAGAAGCTGTATAGAATCACTACTGTGAGAAAGTGATAGATCATATGAAAATGAAGAAACCGCTTCTTCGTTCTCGTTACAGAAAAACGAGCCAAAATGCTAGAAACAGCGTGGTGGACCGGAGTCAGAAAGTGTAAGCGAATCCGAGATGAAGTTTTTTCAGGTAGTAGAAATTCGAATGCGTATTACATAATAACTCTCTGTAATTGCTCAAATGTTGATGAATGACTAATAGTAATTATTTTTGTTTAGTTTGGTTCCCATAGCCGCTGCCGACGTCGACTCCACCACCACTGTGCAAGCAATCGAGTCTCTTCTCTGCCTAATCCGCGATGTAGCGGGTCTCTCCGGTACTGGATTCAAATGAGCATTCAAGAAGGAGTGTACAGATCTTTCCAGAAGAGTCTCCTTGTTGTTGCATTTGTTTGAAGAAATTAGGGATTTTCTATGTGATCGTACACCGTTTCGTATGACAGGTACTTTGTTAACGTTTCATTGTTCCTTACCTGAGCTAACGAAGACTCTTAAAGCTGCTACAAGATTACTTCAGCCGGCAGGAAGCTTCGATCACAATGTTAATATTTCCCCTGTAATTTTATGGACTCGATCAAGAATCAAATAAGTAATCATTATCTGGATTCATCTGTCATTGTTACTGTTCTACACCACTAGATGATCATCTTTCATTGTTTAATTACACGTATAGGAAAGAACAGACTTGAAATTCAAAGTTGAACTCCAAAGTGTTAAATGCAATTTGGAAAAGGAGTTAGCTAAGTTGCCAAAAACTTAAAAACCTAACTCTCACTCCAAATTATGCCTTGAGAAGTTTGATAGTTGAATGGTGTACAAATCAGAATCTTAAACCACCAACTTTACCAGCAAAAAAGATCAAACCAATTGTTAGTAAGGCCTGGAGTCAGTCTATTGGAGAACAAAGGGCAGTCGAGTTTAAAAATCGATTAATCTTCACTGCTTTAGGTGTTTCACTCATTTGTCATCCAGGCGAAAGGGTGCACTGGGAATCTCCTAACTGAAACAGCATTTTGACCATTTGATCCCCGAACTTATTTTTTTGGATTTATAGGGGCACAATGTAAGTTTTTTGGTCTAAAAGGTCATTGAACCGGCTATTATAGGTTGACAGAGACTAAAAGAGCAGGTCATATCTTAGTTTAAGGACCTATAAAGCCCGACAAAAACTTTATGGACTAAATGAGTAAACCCTAGAAAGTTTGTAGGGCGTTTGTGTCATTTTCCCCATTTAAGTATTGATTCTAATATATTTAAGTATTGATTCTTGTTTGTTGAGCATTGCTTTTGTTTTAATTTTGAATTTATAATGCCATTGAAGGAGAGAACAAAATGGAGAAGTGACAAGCAAATCCGTCATTTTTATAAATTTAACAACCCCGAATTCATAGAAATTCATCAACTAAACGGATTGTTTGGAACTTATAAAATAAAGCAAAAAGTTTCAAATCAAGAAATTGAAGGATTATTTTGTAAATGTGAAAATATTAACATAACAAGTATTGGTGTATAGTGTTACATTAAAATGATACATCCTTGAGGATTTGATGTAAAAATTGTTAATAATATAGGATTAGTCTATTAATGCATACGCTGTAAATGTCTTCTAAATTCTAATGTTTTGATAGATTAATTGGTCTGTTGAATTATTGTCGGTCTTTTAAACCCCCCAATTTGAATGGTAATTTTGTTTACTTTTCAAGAATCTACATTTTTCCAAATTTTTACATCTGTATGAGACCAAAAGTCTCATGGAATTTTCAAAAGAGATAATGACTTAAAAGGGTAACATATTATTCGATTTGTACATATTTGGTCACTAAGTTTTTTTTTGTCCACATTTACCCCTTAAACTTGTTAAACTGTACACATTTAGTCCTTATGACCTGTTACTCTAGGTTAGCCGAGAAAAATGACTTGATAGGGTAATATATTTTTCATTTTGTACACATTTAGTCCTTAATATTTTTGTACATATTTAGTCCTTAACATTTTTTTTGTTTTAAAATAATTTCTTTTTTTGTACTCATTCAATACTTATGAATGATTTCTTTAGGTTTTTTTCACGACATCTTACGTGAGACAATCATTGATGAGGTGCTTGGGGTTGTTGATGGTTATGTCTAATGCGATCTCGACTGCTTTGGTTGTGTAAGTCTTGTGGTTTGGCTTAGGTATTGTATTTTGAACATCGTAACTTCTTCATATGATATCAGATTTTAAGGATCTTTATCAACGTGTTCATTTTTTGAGTCTACTACAACTTTCATTAAGATTACTCCCGTTAAAATGTAATATATTTTTACTAACGATTTTATAAAAAAAATATACATACATGCATTGATAAAAAACGTATGCACAAGGGAAGACGTAGTAATACATAGTAGGTGTTGCCGAGATGAAATAGGTGTTGCCGATACATGAAAAAAATAGGTATAAACGTAAAAAGAAAAAAAAAAGCGAAATTTTTTCCACTACGAACAGAAAAAACAGGTGTTGTCGGTGCAACACCGGGACCATACTAAATCCGCCACCGCGTATGAATATAAAAATCGTAAGTAAAAATATATTATTTTTTAATTGGAGTAATCTAAATGAAAGTTGTAGTAGACTAAAATACGAACGCATGGATATAAAGATCGTTAAAATCCGATATCATATGAAGAAGTTATGACGTTCAGAACACATGACCTAAGCAACCAAGTAGTCGAGATCGCGATGGACATAAGCATCAAAAGCCCCATACATCTCATTAATGAATGTCCCACATAAGATTTCGTGAGAAAAAACCAAAAAAATCATTCATAAGTACTGAATGAGTACAAAAAAAATGACTTATTTTGCAAAAAAAAAAAAAAAAAAAAGAAAAAAAAGGACTAAATGTGTACAAAAATATTAATGACTAAATGTGTACAAAGTGAGAAATATATTACCCTATTAAGTCATTTTTACCGGGTAACCTGGAGTAGCCGGTCATAAGGACTGAATGTATACAGTTTAACAAGTTGAAAGGGTAAATGTGGACGAAAAAAACTCAGTGACCAAATATATACAAATCGAAAAATATATTACCTCATTGTCCCTTTTCAAAACTGGAAATTTCTTAGAAAACCACTAACAGCAAAGATGCATCAATCAAAACCCTGATCAAGAACCAAGATTCTCCTCTATAAAAATGGAGAATTTATCACTTCAAACCAATACTTCACAATCCATCTTCACGAGAATTGGACAATGGCTTCGGAATCCGTCAACCAGCTTCACTTCCTCTTGATTCCCTTACTAGCCCCTGGCCACACCATCCCCATGATTGACATCGCCAAACTGCTCGCACAGCGACCCAATGTCAAGGTCACCATTGTCACCACACCCATCAACGCCATTCGATACAGCCCTACCCTTCAAGACCACATCAACTCCGGACTCCCCGTGCGTTTCCTTGAACTCCCATTTCCGGCGGCTGAGGCTGGACTACCGGAGGGATGCGAAAGCGCCGATGCTTTACCTGGTCTACATCTACTCCCAAACTTTTCCGTTGCAGTTGACATGCTACAAGAGAGACTCGAACAACGTTTTGATTCGCTGGAGCCTCGGCCTAACTGTATTATATCCGATAAATACATGCTCTGGACTGCTGATACCGCGATCAAATATCAAATACCCAGAATCATATTTGATGGTATGAGTTGTTTCAAACAGGTGTGTACTCATTATCTTTACGCCTCCAAGGTGCTCGATGATTTGCCTGACTCAGGACCTTTCATTCTCCCTGGATTACCTGATCGTATTGAGATAACCAGAGCACAACTCCCGCCCGAATTCAACCCTAGTCCTTTCGCTTCACCTGAGCATCTTGAAAAAGTAAGAGAAATCGAGTCAAAAGCTTCCCTTAATTACGGGATAGTAATCAATAGCTTTGAGGAGTTAGAGCAAGAATACGTTCACGAACTCAAGAAGCTAAAAGGAGGTAAAGTCTGGTGTCTAGGACCTTTATCGCTATCAAACAACAACGATTTGAGTAAATCCCTAAGAGGAAATAGCACCTCATCAATCGATGATCAGCATTGCTTGAAGTTTCTCGATTCCAAAAAACCCAAATCTGTAATCTACGCCTGCTTGGGTAGCAGCAGTCAGGTCATCCCTGCACAACTGATCGAGTTAGGTTTAGGGTTAGAAGGATCTAATCACCCATTCATATGGGTGATTAGAGCAGGTGATAGAGCGGAAGAACTCGAAGAATGGATAACACAAAATGGGTTTGAAGAAAGAATAAAAAACAGGGGGTTAATAATCAGAGACTGGGCCCCACAACTCCTGATCTTATCACACCCTTCAATTGGGGGGTTCTTGACTCATTGTGGGTGGAATTCGATTCTCGAAGGGGTTTCTGGTGGAATCCCGTTGATAACTTGGCCTCAGTTTGCAGAGCAGTTTCTGAATGAGAAGTTAGTGGTTGAAGTGTTGCGGATTGGTGTGAGTGTTGGAGCTAAAGTTATGGTGCATTGGGGTGAGGAAGATCGGTTTGGGGTTACAGTGAAGAGTGAGGAGGTGAAGAAGGCGATAGAGAAAGTAATGGATGATGGGATTGAAGGAAATGAGAGAAGAAAAAGAGTTAAAGAACTTGGAATGAAGGCAAATAAAGGAATAGAAGATGGAGGCTCTTCTTACCTCAACTTGTCACTACTTATACATGATGTTACACAACTTGCAAAAAATTAAATTGAATTTTTAAATATTTATGGTGCTTTTATTGTTGGTGTATGTATTCCATTGTAGCGTACAAAATATCTTAAATAACTTTAGTATTCTTTGCTAATAATTGATGAATAACATCTTGAATCATCAAAGTCATGTTGACATGAGAAGACCCACCTTCTTCCATAGCTCTCTTCGCCATTTCTCCAAATTCTCTAGCTCTCTTTCTTCTTACTTCTCCTTCTCTTTCTTTCTCCATTACCATTTCAACACACAACTTTATGTTTTCCTTCTTCACCAACTTATCTTTCTCTCCAACCTCCATGTTTACACTCACTCCAACTTTCAACACATCTACAATAAATCTTTCATTCAAAAACTGATCCGCAAATTGTGGCCACGTAATCATCGGAATCCCAGCAGAAACACCTTCAAGAGTCGAGTTCCAACCACAATGTGTTACAAAACCACCAACGGTTCTATGGGACAATATCAAGACTTGTGGGGCCCAACCACGGATAATTACACCTCTACCTTTTACTCTCTCTTCATATCCTTCTGATAACCATCTTTCCGATTCCTCTGTTGTGTTTCTTATACACCAAATAAAGCCTACTTTTGATAACTCCAATCCTAACCCAATCTCAAACATTTGCTCTGTGGTAATGCTTGACATACTTCCTAAACAAACAAAGATTACAGATCCTTGTTCTTTCGTGTCAAGCCACTTTAAGCAATCGTGTTCATCAATTCCAGCTTTGTTTCCTCTCTCAGCTAAATCAAGGAAGCTTCTGTTATGTAAAGAAACAGGGCCTATACACCATACTTTTTTCTTTTTTGCCTTTGAGAGTTCTTCAACGTAGTTAGGCTCCAACTCCTCGAAACTGTTAACCACAATTCCATCCGCAGCTTCTTCTGCAACTTCCATTCGTTGAAAGAAATCCACCATCTCCTTCGTCTCTCTTTTCCCCCAACCCGCAGCCTGTGCTTTTGTAACTTGAATCCGGTCGGTGATTCCGGGTATGATGAAGTAATCGGAGTCGGATTCGACTTCGTTTAGTATATTGGTATTCATTACAATGTGTAAGCATAAGAACGTGAAGCATCCAGGTCCATGGAAAACGAGTCTGGGAATACCTAACCTCTGAGCTAAATCGGTTGTCCATGGGAATTGGTTGTCGGAGATGATGCAGCTTGGAGCGGGAGTTAGTCCCCGGAGAAGGTTTTCCGTCGGTTGCTCTAGCATGTCCATGGCGGCGTACATTTTGACAAAGAGGTCGAATGAAGGAATCATGTCGAAATTTTCGCATCCTTCTGGCAAACCGACTTCAGATAATGAGAGTTGGAGTTCGAGAACTTGGATCTTGAGATTAGCTTCGATTGCCCGGGCGATGGCTGACCGGAAACGATTGGCGTTGACCGGAGTTGTGATTATAGTGACGGTGGCGTCACGGTGGGCTAGGATTCGAGCAATGTCCACCATGGGTATCATGTGGCCTTGCTGCATTAGAGGAATCAAGACGAAGTGAAGGTCTTTGGAAGCCATTGGAGTTGCAGATGATAAGTTTGCTGAATCACTGAAAATGGTGTTTTAATTTTGGCTTATTTTATACTTGTAGTATGTAATAACATACTATATATTAACATTCTTGATTTATTGATACTCGTAGCAAGTGGTAATGACGTTAGCATTGACATCATGTATGTGCTCAACACTCCTCTATGCTTGATCAATACGTTTGGACTTTGGATATTTCACCCAAGAGTATATTTTAATTTTAATATTTTAATGTATATAATACAATATTTGAAATGTTTTATTAAAAAACTTCAACTATTATTCTAATGAGCGGCGGATATGGATCTGAAACCCAAGTCCACCAACTTTGACTCTCGCTCCATCGCAGCCTCGCAGGAAGATAGATATGTTTAAAAAGGATGACTAGAAGAGTAGAATTTACCATCAATCTCCAATAGTGATGAAAACATTATATAAAGCGTAGTAAAGTATAATTTCTATTCGTTAATAAATGTTATTTTACATAATTAGTCCCCCAACTTCTGTCTTTATTCTATATTCTACCCCATAATCTATTTCTTTTACTTATTTATTGGAACTTTTATACATCTCAACTTTTGTAATTTGTCATTTTTAGTGAAATAAATCACGAACATTTTTTCGTGCAATATGGTTGTTTATAATGATTATAACGCGTAATTAAGTTCAAAATCGAAAAATATTTAAGGTATCATGTTTTAATTCTTTTTACGAATTTTGTCCAAATATATTTCCATTTTTTTTTACAATTTTGTTTTTATATGTGTCACAACTAGCAATTTCGGTTTATGATTGTATGCATGCACCAACACTCTTTTCATATAACATAATTGAAATAGTCTATGTTAAGTCAAAGATGAACATATTTTGGATGTACCATACGCAAAACATGTGAGATATTGAAACAACACAAATTTAAATGTCAAGAGGGACCAAAAATGAGCAAAGTATGAAACTTATTTGTGGAACAATTAAGTGTTCGGCCATGGAACACCATGACCGAACACACTTTGTTTTGGTCACTTTAAAAACCGAACACACCTTGTTTTGGGCCTCATAAGACCGAATTCCCCATTAAATGGGCCTTACAAGACCGAATTCTCCATAGAATGACAATATAGGACCTATTTCCTCATTTCCAAACTTTTAAGGAAACCGATTTCTGTTGGGATAAAATCGGTCATGCTTTGAATATTTAATATGTGTTCGGTCAATTTAAGGACTTTTCAGAATGAATATCATTTGTTTAATAGATTTCCTGTACATAAAAGTTGTCCGAGGAAACTAAAATCGGCCATACCTTGAATAAATTAATATGTGTTCGGTCAAAATCAAAGACTTTTCAGTGGGATAACAACTGTTTAATAGATTTACAGTACGTAAAAGGTGCATTGGAAACAAAATTTGGCCTTACCTCTTATTATCCACCAAGTTTCCACACTATCCCCTCAAATATCCATCAAACATCCATGCCACTTATGTATCTTATAACCCACGAATTGGTACTTATTCAAGTCATTTGCACTCTACTTCCCTTCTCTCATTCTCTGATACTCCAACATTAGAGAGTTTTCAATTTTCTTTAAGAACAAGGTCTAAACTCTCAAATAACCCCATCATCCAAGTGATTCTTGCTTCTTGGTAAGTACTTCTACAAACTCCTTGTGTTCTTACACTCATTTGTATTCATTTCATTCCATTTACACACAAAAATTTCGTGTGTGACACTTTATAAGGTGTTAGAGACTTCAAGTGTTCTTCAATAAAAATCTTAGTGTTTGGCTCAACAAACTCTACTCCACACTTCAAACCTTCCCACAAAAGCACCCAGGGTGAGCTTTATACCCCTCATTTTCGTGTTTTTCTACCTTTAGGGGGGAATACAAGCTTAGTTTTGTGTTTGATCTTAGTATTTATGCTTGCATGTGTATATTTTCATGCTATTATGTGTGAAATGCTATGAACTCTTGATAAACCTCCATGAACTCGAGATTTCATCATGTTTTGAAGTGATTACAAAATAAGTTACATTATGTTGCTTCATAAAATAGTTGGACATGATAAACATGTTTACAAAGTTATCCTGAAACTAAAAGAAAGTACAAGAAAGGACCTTATTTGGTAAATAAGTGAAAAATGGGCTAAAATGATTTTTTTTTGAAAAAAATGGGTATTTTATGTCATTTTCGGTTTTAAAGAGACTAAAATGGTTATTTTCGAAAAATGGACCTTTTATGTCATCTCTGGTATTTTTGGACCAAAATGGTCATTTTTGATAAGATGGACCAAGTATGACAAATTTCACTTAAAATGGGCCATTAATGTCATTTTTACTATAAATGGGCCTAAAATGTCATTTTAACACTAATTGGACTAAAACGTTCATTTTTGTTTACAAGTGAGTTTCTTACAACATTTTACCCTAATTGGGCCTTACAACATACTTTACGTTAACCAGGCCTACAACAAATAGATACTTGATATTTCGATAAAAACAAATTGTATTTTGTCACTAATGTTTCGTAATCAATTACATACTCGAAGCATTTTTTTTAAATATTAAATAATGTGATACACTGTTCGCATAAGATTAGTTAAGGCTCTTGTGAGACACACCTTCATTCGTACCTATCTAGCGTACACCGTAAGCCCTGTAGTTATAACCAGAGTCTCCTGGAGGGAGAGCGAGAATTTTGTGTATAGATCTATACGGGGATGACACCCCACACCTGAGCTGCTCGCTACAGCTAGACAGGACAGTCTAGGGTGAGAAATGTCTTACCTAACGCGACTCTTGAAGAACGTCAGGACAGGCATAGAAGTCATATCAAACATGGTTATAGCGACTCACATAGAGAATAACAAACAAATAAATTTATGGAATACACATACTATACTCTTGATACATGGTACGAATTAAACATTTGTTACATTACTTGGGTCTTAGGGTCAAGACCACACCTTTTCATTTATACAGAAAATATAGGTTTTTCTAGGAAACTCTTTTTATACATTACCAGACAAGATTACACATGCCCTAATACAAGATTTGAAGCAAAAACTTACAAACCATTTTTACAGAAAATATCGGATTTTCTGGTGATTACAAACTACTACAAAACTTTTCATACAAACATACTTATGAACTCACCAACATTCTATATGTTGACGCTTTTCAAAATAACTTGTATTCTCAGGAACTCGTTAATCAGGTTGATTGTCAAGGAAATGTGGACTTTTGTTGTAATTTGTTGTCATCATACATTTAATATTTTTGGGGGATGTGATTTGTGAACAAACACACTTATGTAAAACTATGATGGTTGTTATATTTCATGTACGATGATGATGTTGTCTTTGATTCATTTATATACACTGTGATGATATTACAAGATGAAGTCACCCAACCCGCGGACGTTTCCGCCGTTTCTCCGGTTCGGGGGTGTGACAGATTGGTATCAGAGCAATGTTTTATAGTGAACTGGCATATCTAATCATACAGGATATGCAACTATAAATACATTGGGACTAAAATACTCTGAACAAAAATAAAATACATACCTATGTGTGGATTTTAGGGTACTGTCACAGTAAGAAACAATAAAAGTCTTTAGAGGAGTTGAACATCGCGGTTAAACCCGGGCAGCTATGTAATCGTATTGGGGGTAAATATTGCCTGATCAACTATATTTATTTAAAATACGACCAACATGTATTTGGAAGTGATCATGGTGGGAAATGAATCTAGAAACTTACCAAACTCGTATCCAAAAAAGTTTTAAGGAACCCCAAACGTAAACAATTAAAATACTATAGGAGTATTCTTGCATACTATCCATTTTTCCCGCATTCATATAATTCTATGCAGACTCTATGGCTGGATTTCATCACCCCGAAGATCATTACTTCCCCAACCAGGGGAACGGAGGATGGCTAGAGCCGGAACCGGAGGAAGAGCCAGAGGAAGAACCAGAAGAGGAACCAAAAGAAGAACCCGAAGAAGGAACAACAGAACTGGTGGTGGACTCATAGGAGGAGGAGTCTGACGGTGACGATGCAGATGGCTCGTACGCGGAGTCCGAAGTCATTAATCCGCCATATGTGGCCAGAGTGCCCCCGCACAGGATGGGTCCCAACGACCCTACACCCCCATGGGCACATGAGATCTGGAGGTGGAGTCGCCAATAGGGGGTGCGTCCCCCATTCGGCATGAACCGAGACTATTACACCTTGAGTCACGGCGGACTTGCAGATCGAGCACTGCCAGTGATGGTTAGGAGGACGTGTGATATAGGTGAGCAGGCACAGGCAACCTCCGGTCAGATGGTTGCAATGAGAGCTGCGGTTGAGCGCGCGGATAGAATGACTCATGAGGTGGTTAGGGACTATCAGGCGAGACAGGCAGCGTTGGAGGCCCGACTACGAGCCACCGAGCATCATCTGGCCAGACTTCAGGGTGCATCCACCTCATCATCAGCACCACCAGACACTTCCCGCCGCGACTAGGATCAGCTCCACCCACTACCACTATTGTTATAGCCCTCTTTTATGTACTATTGTATGTAGGACCGACTTTATGATTAAGTGACTACACTACTCATAAAGCCGTTATGTTGTCGGATCATATATGTCTCTATGTACTGTACGTCGTCCAAGGCGAATTTTCACGTATTATACTACAAGGGTTATCACTAATGAAATAGTTCTATGTTTTGTTTGTGATGTTGTTAGCTGCTATGTGTTCTATTTTCCTTGTTTCATGATATTATATAGATTCACTTATGTGTACAACCGAAAACATTACAACCTCTAGATAATAACAATGTGTTCATTGTCCTTCTGTTCCATGACAGAAGATGCCTAGGAGACCAATTCGCAAGAATAACAACACGACGCCACCACCACCGCCTCCGCCATAGGTAAACTCTACTGCTTTCCAAGCAACATTCTCGGCTGCAGTCACAACAGCCTTGGCGCACATTCAAACT